TACCTTTGCTCCGCGCGTTCCTCTCGCCGTGTTCCCGCGCCGTTCCGGTCTTCAGGGCGGACTGTGAGAGGAGCCTAGCTCCCCTCTCACGTTCCTCACGCTGCCCCGCCTACACACATTCCGACAGCCGATGTTTGCCACGCTCTGTGGGCCGGATTTAAAAGGTCCGCCAGGCCGTACACGGCCCGCGGGCCGTAGTTTGCCCATTGCTGGTATAGGGGCACTCAGACAAGATGAAGAACCAAAAGCACCGTGGGGGGACCCCAAAGGAGGAGGTTTAAACCATTGCACAGGGCAAGCAATTATAACAAAACTAGGAATGTACCGTAATTCTGGTGGCCAAAACGTTTCGGCCGAAATAAAAAAAAAAAAAAAAAAAAAAAAGCACCGATACAGGTGCCGAAAAAAACCCCGCCCCTCAAAGCCGCCCGCCTGCCTACCGCTCGGTAATTCAGTCTTACCTGAGAAACCATCGATTCCGGCGCTAGGCATAGAGATGGGTGAAGGAAAGATGGCCGCCATACATCTCTGCCTTGGAGCGATGTCGGTTTCGGGCATTTTTTTTTTTTATATTAAAAGCACTAGACCAATTGTTTTTTGATCCAATGCTTTACATTGCAGAGGAGAGATGTGGGGTCTTATTGACGCCAAATCTCTCCATAAAGAGGAACTGTCACTAATTATTCCTATCACAAGGGACACATGCATTTCTTGTGATAAGAATAAAAGTGATGATAATTTTTATTAAAAGGAACAGTGCAAAAAAAAACCAAAAAAAACATTAAATACATTTTTTCAAAAAGTTTAAAGTGCCCCCATCCCCCAGTGCGCACGTAGTGGTGAATGCATATGTAGGCCATGCTCACATATGTAAATGGTGTTCAAAGCACACACGTGAGGTATCGCCACAAAAATCGGAGCAAGAGCAATAATTCTCGCACTAGACCTCCTCTGTAACATTACACTAACCTGTAAAAATTTTTTAAAGCATCACCCATGGAGATTTTTAAGTACCGCAGTTTCATGCCATTCCACAAGCATGCACAATTTTAAAGCGTGACATGTTGGGTATCTATTTACTCGCCGTAACATCCTCTTACATATTGTACAAAAACAATTGGGGTATATATTGTTTTTTTTTTAATCAAAGTGTATTTTTTTCTAAAATATATTCATTTTTAATAACCGAATTTCCGTTTCGGTTTTTGTCCAAGTGCATTTAGAATTTTCGTTTTCTGCACCAGCATTTCCATTTCGGTGCAACACTAAACATAACAAACATAAAAAAACAAAACTTTTACAATCATTTTAAGCCTTACAGTGGGGAGGGGGACTGACTGCAAGGGTAAAGGTTTTTCCTCCCCAGAGTCTAGCATTAACACCAGGACACATGGCTTGCTAGAGTTCAAACCTGGAACATGCACCTTTAGAAACAAGTTGGCAGTAGAAGCTCCCATTTTTTTACCCCAATAAGATCCTTTCAAATAAATTAACAAAAACTACTAGAACCACTGTGAAGAAACTTCATTCAAGTTAATTCTCATGTAGCCACTTTCAAGATTCTGGATTGCATTATATTACTATGTGTAACACTACAATGTTTGTCTTCTCTCCAACTTACTGAACAGAAATGATCAAATGACAAAAACATCAGATAATATACATATACGGTGACTTTATAAACATGACCCATTAATTGACGTCATTGCAGATTTGTGCTCTGCTGTCATTTAATCTGTTAGGAGAGATCTCCAGCTTCTGCTACAAGAACAGCCAGAAGAGCTATATCACACTGTGTGAGCAAATGGTCTTGTAATACTAGGAGACTGGCACAAGTGTGAAGGTAGCCCATACACAAATCTTGTATCTGCGCAAAATGCAACACATCTATTGAAGGAAACTTTCAAAGAGATGGACTGAGGTGTACTTGCACATCGCAGACAGAAGATTCACTGGCTAAGACTAAAATGGATTTCAGATAATACTTTGATCACACAGGGAACTCTGGCTAAGTTCACATGAAAGGCAACAAGGTGGTGATCTGGTTGCTTGTCAACACTGCATGTATACTATTATTTAAGGGTCCATTCACATATATAAAATGGACATCTGTTGCACAGTAAACCGCAGCAGTTTATTGTGCAGCAGCTGTTCGTTCCAGATGCAGTAAGCCTGTGACGGGGGTAGTGCAGTGAGTGAATCGGCGCATTACACAGCTTTCACCCTTTTTTTCTAAAACTTTTTACACAAAAGGGACACTTCATTCATGCCACTGTACAGCCGCGCTACTGTACAGTGACATATGATCCTGTGCAGTGCAGTATGTCTGCATTTTATTGCAGATCACTGCAGTGCAGCTCTGGACTGCATTGCAGTGTGAACAGGGCACACAGAAAACAATTGTACAGAGCAGGCATGTACAGTGGGGATCGAAAGTTTGGGCACCCCAGCTAAAAATTTGTATTAATGTGCATAAAGAAGCCAAGGAAAGATGGAAAAATCTCCAAAAGGTACAAGATATTAACTCTGCAGGGTGCCCAAACTTTTGCAGACGCCATTTTTTTGTTTTCTGTTATTTTGAAAGTGTAAATGATGGAAATAAAATCTAACTTTTGTTGACATATTATAAGAATGTCTAATCTGTAATTTGATGCCTTTTGGAGATTTTTTCCATTTTTACTTGGCTTCGTTATGCACATTAAAACTAATTTTTAGCTGGGGTGCCCAAACTTTCGATCCCCACTTATATATATCAAAATCTTTAATATCACTTAAGATCTACTCATATTCATTGAGGTTTCCATCAGATCAAGGGCCTGATCACACTGTGTAATGTGTTAGCACCACGCATTATCATGCATAAAGATGCACTGACAGCATATCCAAAACAATCAGGGTGCCTTTATACATGACAATACATTGTGCTACCCCAACCTATGTACAAACAGAGTGGACGAGCCTGAGGTGATACACAGACATGAAACAAATCTGCCTACATAAGTTGCACCTGTTTATCTGCATTTTTATCCTCTCTAGAAGCGGTCAAAGTGCAGAAAAATATACAGTGTGTCTGAACTTTCAGAAAGTAGGGGACGGGGGAACTGAAGTTACATTCTGTAGAGCTCAGTGAGTGCTGACTGGAGGAAAGTGACACTCCCCCTTCACACAGCACACAGGAACAAAGCGGAGGATGTCAATCACAGGCTGTGTGCTGAAGCTCCTTCACCTTTTTATTTCTTGGTGTCAGGAAAACATGTCAGAAGTAACTCATGCAGATAGAGGAATGAGGCAGCAGACAGAAATGACACTTGCTCTGGATTGAGACAAATACACACTATAGAGGAGTATGCTTTGTTCATATTTTATGTCAGAGGTTTAAAGCCACTTTAGCACAACCCACCACATCATACAGCATGCATATAGTGGCCTACTGGCACTGTGGGTACAATACCTGCTGCTGTAATGCCTTGGGGTGCCACTCACATTCATGTTACTGTAATGCATCAATTTGAAGAGGTCTATTGGGCTTGTGTAGCTGGGCAAATGCAACACACTTTCAGATGTTAGTATTTGAAATCCTTTTGAGATGTTTTACAGTTTCATTTTACAGTTACATTTGAACTGCATCTGACCACCTGACTTTGGTCACCTAAACTGCATAAAGCTGCTTTTGCATTCCCATTGCCCTAGATGTGCAAAAAAGCAGTTTTGACGTGGTCCAAACTCCATGTACAAAGGCTTAAAAACACAAAGTAAACTCAACACTGCTCAACCCCCATCCTCGAATTTAAAAACAAAAAGCAAGATTTATATATAAATTCAGATTAATAGGGTTGCACTGCTACAAATATCGGTGCTGATACTAAGCATCTGTGCGAGTATCAGTACTTGTGCAAATGCTCCAACACCTGAAACCGATACCTTCAGGTTTGATTCTGTCAGCAGGTTTTCCCTCGTTGAAAGCTGAAGTGTAAATTAAAACAAACAAAAAAAGTCAGCAATTACCGGTTGTTAATAAGTGGGGCCACCGCATCCTCAACAACCGATGACTCGTTCAGCTGTCATCGGGGTTCCCCTGCTCACAGCTGAAGTCTAAACCAGTCCAGGCAATTGGAGCTGTCAAAAAAAAAAAAAAAAATAGCCAGACAATGTTTATCAACAGCATTGCTAAGCCAAAAAGAAACATTGTTTCATTTTGTACCTGTTTATTCATCTTCAGAGTAAAAGGAATGAATGTCCATCTGTAGATGAAGTCAGTTAAAAGCAACATGTCAAGTAAAAAAAAAAAGTTTTTTTTTTACTTAAATGTTCCTCTGTTTAATCCATTGTTAACCCTTAATTTACTCTAATCAGCCCTAGTTAACCACTTCAAGTCCGGACACTTCTACCCCCTTTCTGTCCAGGCCAATTTTCAGCTTTCAGTGCTATCACACTTTGAATGACAATTGCGTGGTCATGCAACACTGTACCCATATGAATTTTTTTAGCATTTTTTTGAGACAGATAAAGCTTTATTTTGGTGGTATTTATTCACTACTGGGATTATTTGTTTTTGCTATGTAAATGAAAAAGTCAAAATTTTTGAAAAAAAGGGTTTTATAAAATTTTGCAAATAAATAATATCTCATCATAAATCTTGGCCAAAATGTACTCAGTTATCTTTTTAGTAAAAAAATATAACCCAAATTAGTTTATAACCAAAAATAATAATTTTTAAACATTTTTTGTTACATTTTTATTTTATTTTTTCATTTTATTTGTTTTGTTTTTTACATACTGTCACCCTAGCAGTACAGTGTCACCATGGTGCACTGTACTACTTGTGGGGATTGATGAAGATTTTTTTTTTTTTTTAACACTGATTGCTTTTACACCCATAAATGCTGTAAAAGCAATCATTTCTCCTTCTCTCTGGCTGCATTCTTGCAGCCATTGAGAACTACTGTGCGAGTTGTGATTGGTCACAGCTTGTCACATGGTACAAGGCTGTTGTGAATAGCCTTGTACCATGTGACCTCTGTGATCACTCACAGATTTCACACGTAGTAAGCAATGATGTCAAAAGTGACATCTTGCTTACTACTCTGCATGTGATCACTGATTGGCCAATCAGTGATTACATGATCGGGACCTCGCACAGAGGTCCCGTACGACGATCGGTGTTCCACTGTGTACTGAGGACACAGTGGGCACCAGATCGCGGTGCTGCGTGCTCCCTGCAGTGGGCAGGGAGGCCGTTTATAAACAGCCACCCGACCCTGCACTGCCACCATCCAGCCGTTTATATACAACGGCCGGACAGGAGGTGGTTAAGGTGTCCTTTTATGAAACAGAGATCAGCGGCGATACTGAGGCTTGTTGCTGATCTCAGATCATTAGTGGTTTAGGAAACAGAGATGATCAGCGGAGAACATGTTCTCCGCTGATCATCTCAGCACACAGATGGCCAGTGTATGAACGAGCGATGTCAGCCCTTCACTGGCGATCTGTGTTCTCCCTCCATATTCTCCAGCCCAGAGCTGGAGAATCGGGGGAACTGCAAACGAAGCAGCGGTAATTTACCGCTGCCTAGTAAACTGTGTGTTTGACTGATCTCTCACTGTAATCTCGCAAGATTGCAGTAAAAGCAGCCGGTTTCCAGTGTTCAAAGCATTTGTAGATCACTTCTCTCTTCATTCAGAGAAGGGATCTACATCACTTCATAAAAAGGCATTCAGGGGAGAACTCTCTCCTCTCAGAATGCCGGAGAAGAACTGAGCAGCAGTCATTTACCACTGCTTGATAAAAGGACACCTAACTCCTTATTCTTCTTATTTATCTAATTATTATTTCCCTGCTGATTTTTTTTGTTAATTTCTGTTTTAAAAAATATTAATAATTTTTTTTTTTTATTTTTGCTTTGTTCACAAATATTTTTACACCTTTGACACATATTTACACATTGAAAAGAATGCAAAACTGAAAAAAATTTATTTCATTTGTAAATAACTTTGCAATGCTTTGTACCAGAATCATAATTGTATCATTTTAAACAGGACAAATTACAGAACAAAAAGTGCACTTTTTATGTGTAGTAACACTATTTAATTTTTAAACTAACACTGTTCAGAAAAAGAAAGTGTGTGGTTTTTTTTCCAGTTTTGATACATTTAATTGTCTAAGGATTGTGAAAAAAATATATATAATTTTCACAAGACAATATTCACGAAAAGAAAGCCTTGTTTGTCCTTAAAAAAAAAAATATATTTTTTTTTTTTATCTTAAGTAATGACAAAGTTAATGCCAAATAAACAGGTCCATAGCAGAAATGTTAAAATTGTTCTGGTCCACAGGGGGTGCACAAGTGTGTGAGCCGAAGTGGTTAAGAAGCAGAACCACCGCATCCTTAACAACTGATTACCCATTCAGCTGTCAGCCGGGTTCCCTTGTTGACAGCTGAAGTGTAAACAGTTGCAAGCAGGTATCGATAATTGGTATCGGCGAGTTGAAAATAGAAAAAAAAAAAAAAAAAAGTATCAGTAGTCATACTCGCTGTAAGAAAAAAAAAAATGGCATTGGTGCATCCCTACAGATTAGTTTAATGGTTGACATGACTGACCAAAAGGAAGGCCCAGAATAAGGAGCACCAAACCTATCTTTTAGAGGAAAAGTTGTATTGCAATAAACCTCAGCTGCACTCTGGATCCACTGTTCCTTGTGATATTATGTTTTCAGAAATAATTACCTCTACTTGTGCATAGCATATATGTTCAGTTTGATTGCTTGAGATTGTGACAGGCTTACTCTGATATGAAAATAAAATTGCAAATAGTATATCATCTCAACATTTTTAAAGAAGAACTCCAGCCTCATCTGCCTCTGGTGGAAAATCGTGTGACTTATTTTCTCCCACTCCTCACTGTGTGCTCCAAATTTTCAATGAAGGTCATTGCAGCAGTAAACCTTTCTGTTTGCAGACTCCTAGTCCCTCACAAGACCCACTGCTGCAGTGTTCTATGTGATGCACACATCTTGCATACAGCCAGTTTCAGTTAGATGAGATTGAGTTACTTCAGAGCCCAGCCTCTGTGCACCCTGAATCCTAGTACTCAGGAACTGGTGCCAGCCGAGTACTGCAAGTTGAACAACTCTTTAAAGCGGAGTTCCACACAACCTATCAAAAAAATAAAAGTCAACAGCTACAAAAACTGTAGCTGCTGACTTTTAAAAAACAGCCACTTACCTGTCCCTCGGTCCCGTGGTGTGTCCCCTGCAGCTCGCTTCATGGAATACAGGACGGCCGGCATCTTCAGTGTGGTAACCCCAGCTGTGACAGCTTGCGGCTTCACAGTCGGGTACCCACTGCGCATGTGAGTAGCGCTGCGTTTCATGAATGGTCCTGTAGTCATCTGGGACCTGTCACGTATCCCAAATGACTACAGGGAGGGAGGACACTTTCCGCTTCCGATCGCCTAGGTGATCAGACCAGAAGTGGGAGTGAGTACCTGTCAAATTTGGGTACCCGTCTACCCCCCCCCCACTCCCCAAAGGTGCCAATCCTTAATGGGGAGCGGGGGGGAGCAGTCCTTAAAGCGGAACTTCCCCTTTTGGGTGAAGCTACGCTTTAAGCCACCATTCATACCTGCATGTTTAGGCATGCCCATCTCCCTACATACAGCAATGCTGAACATGAGAGAAAAAAAAAAAAATCTAAATTTTTTCTATCGTGGCTATTTAAATGTCTCAGTTTTTTTACTTAAAAAAGGAAAAGTAGGGCCAACACTCTTTTGGCCCTACTTCTCCTATATAGGTCCAACACTCTTTTGGCCCTACTTCTCCTATATAGGTCCTCCTGTGACCTGGTTTCAGCTGACAGGGGGCTAAAGTCCGCTGTCGGCTGAGGTCACTCAGCTGGTTTGGGTTCTGGTTCGAGCCAAACTTTAAAGTCAGGATCCACCCAGATGCCTGGATCAGCAATTGGCTCAGCCTCTCAGTGTGCCACAGAGAGCCTGAGAGCCAGCCGCTCCTGCCCCTCCACAGCCCAGCACTTCAGTAAGTGCTGGAGAAGCAAAGCAGAGAGCTGGAGACTGACAGTTACCGGCTCTGTGCTCACTGAAGACTGAGAACTGAGTGATCAGTGGTCTTTGATTACTCCGTTCTTGTCTTAGAGGTGGTGGGGGAATCAATGCTGCATACACTTAGGTGAGTATGTATTTATTTTTTAAATTCCCAAACTTCCCTTTGAAGCTTGAAGAGGTACATGAACTTTTATGTGGAGCTAGCTTGAAGCTCAGAGAGGTACATGAGCTTTTTTTGGAGCTGTGTTACACGTTTTTGGCCCCATAGACTTTAATTAAAGCACATTTATATGTGCGACGTGTTTTCATGTGTATTTATGTCTGAACTGATCTCCTCCCACCCAGGAGCTTGAATATATGTGCAAAAACGCTCGCAAACAATGAACTGCAAAGGCATGTAACACAAAGGATCTGGTTTACTGTTTTCTATTGTTCACATTTAGGGAAAGCTGTGTGTTAGTTTTAAGAGGCACAGCGTCACTATTAAGTGGACGTTACTGCAGTTATGTGCTGGCTCTACCTAACTTCTCCCATTACTGCAGGCAAGAATTCTGCTTTAATCATACAAAAAAATCAAATCAACTCCCTCCAAGATATGGAAGAAAAACACAGAACAGAAAAGCATAATAAAGCCTAAAAAATGGGTTTTGCCTGGTCTTACTAAGCACTGTTTTTTTTTAAATGCACACAGTACTGGCTGAATTCAATTGGCCTGATTTGCGATGAAGCCCACTGGAAGACAGTCAGCAGTACGAGTACTCCAATGCCAAGCCATGTACTTATGAGTGTGTAAGACAGCAACAAAGTCACGACTATTCCCAAAAGAGGCAGAAAGAAAAATGCTAAATGTATGCAACTTTCAGATTTCCACAAGCTTGTCTGAACAATATCAACACACATCACATTTATATTTTAGATATACTGTACATACTACAATAGCAATTAACACTCACCAGGTACTTTATTAGGTACTAGTGGTGCACCAAAATGAAAATTCTGGTGCCGAAACCAAAAAGTCAAGATGCACTTGGCTGAAAACTGAAATGGACAGTTTTTTTAAAAATGTATATTTTTTCAAAAGCAATATTTTGTGGAAAAAAAAAATATATACCACAATTATTTTATAAAGTATGAAAGATGATGTTTCGGCAAGCAAATAAATACCCCAACATGTCATGCTTTAAAATTGCGCACGCTCGTGTAATGGCGCTAAACTACATTACTCAATCTCCATAAGTGACGCTTTAATTTTAAACTGGTAACCTGTAGAAATTTTTACAGAGGTGGTATTGTGCTAGAATTATTGCTCTTGCGATTCGTGGTGATGCCTCACATGTGCGGTTTGAACACTGTTTACATATGTGGGCATGGCAAACATCCCTTCTGATAGAAATAAGCAATGACAGGTCCTCTTTATGGAGAGATCTAGGGTCAATAAGACCCCACATCTCTCTTCCTCAATATAAAGCATTAGAGGGAAGGATTGATCTAGTGCTTTACAAAAAAAAAAAAAAAAAGGCCTCGTTTACATGGCACCGGAACCGGAAGTGCCGTACTGACGTCCAGTCCTCCAAGGGCATAGAGATGAGTGAAAGCCATCTTTCCTTCACCGATCTCTATGCCCAGAACCAGAATCAATAGATGGGTTCTCAGGTAAGACTGAGAACCACCAGGTGGAGACGGCGCTATTTTTGGCACCTGGTGCCTATATTCATATCGGCCTAAGGCCAATAGGGGTCATTTTGGCCGCCGAAATTTCAGTGCATCCCTATCAGTTACACCTGTTCAATTGCTTGGTAACACAGATTGCTAATCTAATCACATGGCAGCAACTCAATGCATTTAGGCATGTAGATGTTGTAAAGATGACTTGCTTAAGTTCAAACCGAGCACCAGAATGGAGAAGAAAGGGGATTTAAGTGACTTTGAACGTGGCATGGTTGTGGAGTATTTCAAAAACTGCTGATCTACTGGGATTTTCACACACAACCATTTACAGAGAATGGTCCAAATAAAAGAAAATATCAAGTGAGCAGCAGTTGTGTGGATGAAAATGCCTTGTTGATATCAGAGGTCAGAGGAGAATGGGCAGACTGGCTGCTGCGACATACAGATGGCAGGGTCAGAATTTGGCGTAAACATGAAAGCATGGATCCATCCTGCCTTGTATCAATGGTCCAGGCTGGTGGTGGTGGTGTAATGGTGTGGGGGATAATTGCTTGGCACTAGCAAGGTGTACCTAATAAAGTGGCTGGTGAGT